GAAAACTATTTCTGTTTACAAAAAGTGTCCCTCAAAATGTATAAAATTAAGATGGCGTTACTTTGTCAGAGGGATGCCGAAAGTTGTGACAGCCGATAATTCAGATAACATTATCACATCAAATATGTCTACAGTTATATAGATAGCTCACCTATATGTAAATAAAAGGGTATATATGCTCAAAGGGTGTAGTTTATAAACGTAGAGAAATTTTGATAGTAGACGACAGTAGTGCTTTTGAATGTATGATTTACGTATGTATGAGCAATCTGTATAATTATATATCATTGGATCGTTCCCTTCTACTATACGAGCGGCATTCATCACTTTCTGAAACCTAATTTACTGCTTTTGAGTGGACACAACCGTATAAGATTGTTCTCCTTTTCTACACCCTCCAATAAATATATTGATAGATTTAAGAAGTGCAACTATCTGAAATAATCAGAGATATTAAATTTTTTACTACTAAATTAGTAAACTTTGCTTGCAACCCCCGTAGTCAAAAAGCTCGATCTATTATTCGGTATATTGGGTGCTTTTTAGCCGGAATAGAAAACGAGGAGGAAGTCGTGAATTCTAGGTGGGACACAATCGCAATTGGGAAGTCGAGAAGGTGCACGAGAGGACTCGGACGACCAAATAGGCCACATATCTATCACAATTCAAATAGACATGGCACCGGCATGGCAGCAGGCGGCAAGCGGCGGGAGGAAGCAAAAGAATGATTTCCCTCATGGCGTATAAAGCGTTCTTAAAAAGACAAAGCGCAGACCAATTTCGTGTTGTCCGAACAAGAAACGGAATCTCAAAACAGTGTTTTGCCTCTTTTTATACGGCGATTCGTTCAAATTTTATTCCTGCTGCTGTTATTAAACTTTCAAATTTTTTTCCGGTTAAATGTTATGCAAATATTTTTTTTTTATTATCTACCTACCAGCAAATTTACGATATACCGTATGTATATTAATATTTCTGGGCAGCAAAATTGTACGTCAATAATTTATCAAAATCAATATCAGTGTAGTTAAATTCTTGAAAAGAGATTTTGAAATAAAGAAAATCTGAGAATTTGGAGATTGATTGGAATTGTCATAGAGAGGGTTGTAATCCAGTAACCATGTATACATCAGACAGAGTATTAGACCTTGCGTCAGATCCGTTCGTTCTTTTTTTTTGCCCAGTTGTTTATGAATAATAAAAGTTCTCAAAAAGTCTAAGAAACCAAGAAATTCTCTTCCTTGACTAGTTTTGGAATATAACTACACCGTACACCTTTAAAATTAGTCTAAATTTGCTTCAGTTTGAGCTGAAAACCGACTCTGTAAAATTAATAGTTTCCAAAATAAATGTTTTTAACCCCTTGCCGCATACTGTGCCATATTTGGCACACGTTCAAAATTATAATTTTTTTTCTAAGTTTCCGAATAGTTTGTGCTGTCAACTCAAGTTGTCCCATATCTGGCACACTCGCTTGTTCACAGGCAGTCGCTAAATCCCCTCCACTATCGTACGCGCAAATTTGATGAATCAATTAGTGAATATCTGGCTGGTGACAGACGCTAGCTTGTTTGGGGCAAATTCAAAATAGAATATTTTTGTTCTTTTGGCCTAATTTGTGTGAAAAAAATTATTTTTATAAGGGTAAGTGTTTACTGTGATGACTAAAGTCGTACAAAACTTTTTTCTATATAAAAACGAGAAAAAACTGTCTTTGTTTACTTGTGCCATATTTGGAACAATATGAGATAAAGGTAATATTTTTGTAACGAATTGTTTGTTTTTCAGATGAATACCAAATCTATGGAGCAAAAAATGTACAAATTCCAATGACTAATGGGAGTGATGAAGAGAATTTATCTTCCGATGATGACTATCGAAAGAATGAACTAATGAGTCTCATAAAACTTACAAAAATTTTGTGATTCATCAGATAGTGAAAGCAATGCTTCATCAACTAAAGAGGTAATTATCGACGAAACTGACAGTGACAGCGAATACGAAATACCGCTCTCTAGATTATGACAATCTAATCAAGATAAACATAGTGATATAAATGTTCCCTCGACATCTAAATCTCATAGCGATACAAATTTACCATCGACATCGACTAGCAAAAAATGTAAACAAAAAAATAGGTAAAGAAGAAGTTATCTGGCATAATAAGTTCCTTGCTGTTACTGAAGAATTTGTGAAATTCAAAGGAGATGACACTTCCAATTTTCATACAAGAACTCGAAGATCCCATTCAGTTTTTCAATTTTTTTTTCACCGACGAAATTTTTACTTATAAAGCTGAACAGTCAAACTTTTTTGGTATATAAAGTAGGTCCAATATATCCAAAGAAGAACTTCGTATTTTTTGCGGTATTCAACTCCCTTCAACCAGGTCCTACTGGAATTAATAGTTAGATATTCCCTGCATTTCACGTTGCAATAGATTTGAAGAAATCAAACGTTTTTTTCACTTCAATGACAACACCGCCAAGTTCCTCAAGAGTATTCAGGTTATGATAAGCTTTTCAAGACACATCCATTGCTAAACAAAATTCGTGAACATTTCTTACTTGTTCCTAAAGAGGAGCGTATGGCTGTGGATGAACAAATTATTCCGACAAAAGCTCGAACAAGTCTCAAATAATATAATACCAAGAAACCTCATAAATGAGGATACAAGGTTTTTGTTCTAAGTGGAGCTACAACTCTTGAAAATAATCAACCAGATCTAGGAGCAAGCAACAATGTTGTTGTAAAACTTTCAGAATCAATTCCAAGAAATCTAAACTACAAATTATTTTTTGATAACTGGTTTACGAGCATTCCTCTACAAATATATCTCACCAAAAATTGTATTTTAGCTTTGTAGACAATAAGAGGAAATCGTGTGCATAATTTCGAATTCCCTAAGGAAGCAGATTAAAAAAAAAGGTTGAGGTACAGTTATTGAAGCAATGGCCAATGTAGATGGTGTGGACATATTTGTTGTTTCATGGTTTGATAATAAAATTGTGAACACCATGTCAACATATGTTGGGAGTCAGCCTGTATCGATGGTAAACAGATTCTGCAGGAAATCTAGGACACATATAGATCACCCGCCCTCAATGTGTTGCGGTATATAATGCTTATACTGGGGGAGTAGATCTTCTCGATTCTATGTTAGGATACTACCGAATCCAAATTCAATCCAAAAAGTGGTACATGAGGGTATTTTTCCATTTTCTAGAGATGATATGCATCAATAGCTGGATACTGTGGAGGCGAACCCTAAAAAATAATGATTTATACCTACCACTTTCAGAATTTAAACTTGGTATCGTAGAAGTTTTGACCAGAGCTTATAGTTCAGAAAGAAAAAGGGGAAAATCAAGTACCAGCTTACAACCTCAACTGGATCTCAAAAAAAGAAATATCCTTTTCGCAGATTTCAGCCCAGGAAATAAGAACGAACAACTTGAATAATTTGCCAAGAGTAAGTGAAGAATGACAGAGGTGCAAATACCCAGATTGTAAGGGAAAATCCCAGATATTACGTGGCAAATGTTCAGTATTTTTATGTCTAAATAAGGATCGCAATTGTTTTAGCAAATTCCACACGGAATAGGGCAAGATTTTCACCCTTTTGTTGAGATAAAATTTATTTTTTTTAAATAAATCTGAATTTATACGTATTACTTTTGTTTTGTTTTCGAAATTTGTGCCAAATTTGGCACATGTCAAAAATTAAAATTGTTACTGTTATCTCATTTTGTGCCAAATTTGGCACAAGTCAAAGTTTGACATGACGTATTTCCTTTAAATATCGATAAATATTTTTTTCACTAATCAATCACTCTAACGCATATATTTTTTAACAAAAAAATAAAAAAATCATGCAGTAAGGGGTTAATGTGGCCCTGTCACCCTGTATTTTAGGACTGCGTATTCACAACTAAAAAATGAGAGAATAAATAAATAATTATCCTCGTAATAATTGGTTGTATGTTATTGAGTAATGTTTAAAGTTAATGTGACGAAAATATACCTAAAAATGAAATGTATACATTGCGGTGTGCAAAAAAATTAATTAAATTTGAAAGTTGGGTCTCGGCGTCAGAGTTTTTAAATGAATTGAAACGAAATACTGTGAACAGTGTACAAAACAGCATAGAACGTCCGTCCAGACACAGGCTTGGTTCATCGTTCATCCCGTTCCAATTTCAGTATATTATTTGGTGGCTCTTTCTCTCATTGTTGTGCATTTCGTTTTCCAGTTAGCTGAAATATTACAGTGGCCATCCATGCAGAATAATCCACTTTTATTGTTTGCAATTATTAATATATTTAACTGCATTACTGACTGACCTGCACGATCTATTGTCATGTGTATAATTGCAGTTTTTGTTCCCGATTGTGCTTTATTAGTCTATTGTGCTTTTTGTATTAGATTTTGTTTTGTTTTCGGTCACCATTCGTTTTTGTTTTTCAATAATTTGATACGGAAATTATTGAGTTTTTAAGTGCAACTGCCTGCCTATATCATGTGCTGTGGATGAGATTCGGCCTTTTAGATTGTCGATGTTTGTTTTTTATGCCCCCGCATCGTTATTGATAACAAATGGGATTGCGATCTTTTGCTGCTGTCATTTACATATATCGTTACTCAAAGGTTTTCCAATATGATACAGAATGATTCATTGTGCTCTAACACACGATCTACACAATTTCTTGTATAATGTGTAGTATTATTATAAAGAAAATTGTTAGAAAAATCAGATTGTATGAGATATTGATTAGAAATTCCAGACACACGTAACCAAAATAATCTTAATTGTTTACGTCAAAAAATGTCAACAGTTAATGCACATTCTAAAGTCAATATTAATTTAAATATTTCAAAAATTAAACTCGTATTTACTCGATATTTTCTCGATATTTTGGAAAAAAAGACAGATTAATAATCCTAAGCATTTCTAAAAATGTACTTATTATCTAAATTGACCTATTTTTCTTTGTTTCAGATTTTGTGTCGGTGATAGATTCTATTTATGTGAAAATAAAATCCTTTGTGAATACGACTACGAGGAACGACTAGTTTTTGCAAATATGGCCTACAATCCACCGCCGTTATCGCATTTGAAGAGGCAAACTTCCATACCACCCGTAAGTACATATTTTAAAAATTTAACTCTAAAGTAGTCTCCAAATAAGCATGTACTCTAGAAAAATACCAATCAGAATAAAATACATATGCGGACAAGGATTATCCTGTTAATAAAATTCACGTGCCAATTTTCATTAAATACCGTGTATATTTGGAGCACACTGCACAGAAATGTGAAATGTCGGTTAGGTGGGGCCATAATTATATTGAAAATACTTTTAGAAACTTTAGTAAAAAAAAAAACAAAAAAGAAAACCAAAAAAATAAAAAATAAAACAAAAAATAAGCTAAACCAAAAAAAAAAAAGAAAAAATATTTCAAAATTCGTTAAAAGGAATATGAACAAGTGTGTACTATAAAAAAAACACAAAATCCCAATAAAATACATATATGGACAAGAATTATCATGTCCCAATTTTCATTAAATATCCCATAGTTGCACCGATTCTGTGATGAAAATTAAGGTGGGTATTTAGTATAAAATTTTTTGAAAAAATCCTCCCCGGAAAAGTAACACCCCTCCGAAGATTTATAAAAAAATATTTTTCTTCTCTATTTTCCGTGTATATTAAACTAAAGACACGAAACTTGATAAATATTATTTGTCAATAACAGCACACTTTTTGAAATGTTTTCAACCCTGAAGTATGCTTAGAAGAGGTTGAAATAGTCCAACGCCTGAGATATGTTTTCTTACACCTTTTTTTAGATAAAAATTTTTCTTTTAAAAAAATATGGCTGAAAAGCCCAATTCATTTTCTAACTTTTTTATCTCTACAAGTGTTTTCGAAAACTTAGGCATTTACGAGAAAAAAATAACTGTATTGCAAGCTCATGTTAAATAGCATTTTATTGAACAACAGCCAATCAAATTATGATTCTACTAGGCTAAGACTTTTACAACTAAAATAAATATAAATATATGACTTATTTTCCATACGACAATACAATTGTATGGGATTCGTCAAAATACAAGTAAATAAAATAAAAATATGATAAAAGCATAAAACTAGAAAAGAGAATAAAATATAGGTAGGACTTATACATCAAATTCGTAAAATTCAGCAAGATCATAAAAACAATATTCTAGTAAAAAACCTTTCAATTTTCTTTTAAAAATAAAAAATTAATTACTTTCCTTTATTACAAGAGGGAGTCGATTGAACAATTTGGACCCCACATAATTTGACGTATTAGATGTTACCAAAGTATATTAACCGTTGAGTAGCGACAGCTGGGGAACCGAATTCTAGTGCGCCGACGCGAAATAGAGAGGCGAGACGTCTTCTAAAGATGTAAACACCCCTTTCACTTTAGTCCGGCAGCTGATATAGGAATTCGTTGTTGTGCTCTTTTATTGTTTTTGTGGGTTTTTCATTATGCCAAAATTCATTAATTTTTCGGGGTTATGTAATTAGAACCAAATAAATTAAATAATTAAAATCTTCTAAAATAAACGATTTTATTAAGGTCGTCAGAACACTAACATGGAAAAATATGCACTAAAAAGTGAACAATATGTAAACCTGACAAATAACTGCTAAAAAAATATTCGTAAACGAATTAACGCACTCAAGTAGGTACCCAGTAAACTTGCCTGATTTAAACCAAACCATCATATCTGCACTATCTCAAAGATATATGTGCCATTGACAAAAGAACTAATTCTTTTTGTTTAATTAAATAAAGATCTGTCCATTCAATTTACTTTTTAGTTCAATTTTGTTGATCTGGTGACTAATAAAATCATTTACCTTAATTAATGTCTATTAAATTTATTGATAACTTGAATAGCAACATTATTACAGTATTATCATTTATGCGTAATTATTACAAGACTTTTTCCTGATAACTTTTCGCAATTCAATTCCTCAAATCACAGTCAGTGACCTCAAACATACCAAATCCAAGTTTGAAACAAATCGGCTCATCAATACAAAAGTCTGCCAACTTTATCTTTGTTAAATTTAGGTTAAAACTCATATTTGGCGGCCTTAAACATCCCCAAGTTTAGGACAATCGGTTCATTAGGAAAATCCGCCATTTTGATATTTTTATGTTTAGATCAAAAATTGTATTAAGGTTCTTAAACGGAAAAACCGCCATTTTGATTTCCTTGATTTTTTTGTCAGAAATCACAATTAGCGACCTCAACTCAACAACCCCCAAGCTTAAGTAAATCTATTCATAAGTATAAGAATAGTAAAATTGTCCCCTATTTTGCTGTTAACTACGAAAGCGTAGAGGGCCACGGTGAAAAAAAGACAGTTATATCTTCCATTAGTGCTACTGGTAATTGACATTTACATCTGTCAATTAGGCTAATTCCTAGTTCTGTCTGTTAAGTTAATGCTAATTGACACTTACATCTATCAATTAATGCTAATTAACATTTACATCTATCAATTAGGTCTAAGTGTCAATTAATTAGCATTAATCGACAGCCAGAACTGGGAATCAGGCCTAATTGACAGATATACCTAAGGCCAATTAGTAGTAATTGACAGCTAGAACTGGGAATTAGACCTAATTGACAGATATAAGTAAAAATTAGCACTAATTGACAGATATCACTGTCAAGTGTCAATTATATATTTTTTTCACTGTGATTCTTCTACGCTTTCGTAGTTTACAGTAAGATTTATCAAAAATTAGAATGATTGACGGAATGTCATCAGATTTGACACTGACTTCCATATTGTTGTATGAATAACTTGTCAAATCAGATACCTCTGTCAAACACTTTAAACGTGAATTAAAAGTTTTGAGTAACGGGGTACATTATTAGTCAAAAATTGTATTCAGCGGCATGTTTAAACAACGCGAAATTTAAAGTTTGAGACAACTCGATTAATATATAAGAAGGTCCATAAGTAATAATTTCTATTGTTATCAAAAATCAAAACCCTGTGCACCTACCAACTTTCAAGTCTCTAGCTCATCCGGACGTAGGTAAAAAAATTGAAATTTATCAATAGTGATATATATTTTTATATTTACTACATAAGTTAAATACTCATAAATATAAAACTGCCTAATGACCAAACCTTTATTATAAATGTAAACTACTAAAGAGTTTTACTTCAAATTACGTCGAGCAGTGTAAACATCACATTCAAGACCAGTTCATAATTCGAGCAGTGTTTTAGTGTGTCCTTCCGTCAATAACGTCAAACGAGAGAGAAAGAAAACTTGCACCACCGAAGATCAAAGACACCGACGCTTTATGTCGCTACTCAACGGTTAATATACTTTGATGTTACCTTGAGTCATGCATAAGGTATATGTAGTTCATCAGCCTGTCTGGTTTCATATATGTGTACACAGGGCCGCCGAGAGCCAGGCCGGGCCCCAGGACAACTCTCTAGATCGGGCCCCGTGACAAGCTCTTCAAACAAAAACTTTTCCTCTTCTACTTGAATTGCTTTTTCTAAAAAAAAAAAATAAAAAACCCATCAATAACCAGTTACCGGGCCCCCATTTGAGTCCGGGTCCCGTGAATTAGTCCCGACTACCCCCCCCCCCTCTAGTCGGCCCTGTGTGTATTAGTTACAAACATTTATTTGTGTTTGTAAGTGTATAGGCACATTTCAAAAATAAAAACACAACAAAGAGGTAATATGCCATATTCCTTGAAGTATGTATGGTCGATAAGAGGCTCTTTGTGGCCTTTCAGGTCCGTTTTTTTAGCAAGAAAATCATTTTTAGAGTACGTTGAATTTCCTCATAAGCATACACCGTTTCTTACACATGAGTTCACCCTAACTAATTGGCGAACTTTAAATATAAACCAGTCTTTTACAATGATCTTTCCAATCAGGGTGTTGATCTATTTGGATTCCTAGAAAGCAAATGCTATCATTTCCATTATTAAGAAGGACATTTTCAATACTAATCTCTAGGGCCTCAACGTTATGTTACCTGTTATTAAATCTAAGTACCTCAGTGTTATTGGCATTGAAAAATAAAATCAAGACTATTAAAGTAATTTGACATTTTTTGAGCGATGTTGGAGCTCTCTCTGTTTAGTAGATCCGTATTTTTAGCTGAAATTATATCCGAAAAATCATCTGCATAACTTACATAATGATTATCACCTATTAATGAGTCAACATTACATACAGTATGAACAATATGAGTCAAAAAATTGAACCCTGAGGAACTCCCATATTAATATCTAGTGTATGAGAATTAATAGTATTGATGTTGTCGTTTTGTATCTTTAAAGAAATATATTGCTTCCTAGCACAAAAAAAGGTTGAAATCCAATTTAAAACAGTGCCTCTGATTCCATATTTTTCCAATATATTTAACAGCAACTCATGGTTTACACAATCGAATGCTTTACTGAGATCAAAAAAGGTAGCATCTGAGCATTCAAATTCCTCCAAATGGTGAATAATTTTATTGTAAAATGAAAGCATAGTAGTTATTGATTTCCTATTATAATGTTGTACCTCTTCAAGAAAGACACAAGAAGATCAAAGATTTTAGGTAGACCACAGGGAATAGCAATAGGTCTATAGTTTTCTATTTGTCTACGATCATTTTTCTTGTGCAATTGTAAAACTTTCCCGTTTTAAAGCTTGAGAAAAACTACCTATCTCAAATGATAAGTTTACCAAATATGTTAAAGGTTCAGAGAACATCTAATACTTGTTTTAGTACAAAACATGGTACGTCATCGGCTCCAGAAGATCTTTTGTTTTTAAGTTTCCTAAGTAATAAATTTAATAATTCTGTGTGAGAAAATGGAGTGAGGAAGAAATAATCTTTCTTTTGATGTGATTCCTTTGATGTTACTAGTAGACTTTGTCAATGACCATGAACATATTTAAAAAAAACTATTAAACTCTACAGATACCTCCCATGGATCATCCAATAACACCCCGCCCTTTCCTATGACAATAGTTGAGAGTTGAGACAGAACTTTCTCTATCGGGATTTCTGATATAACATTCCCACACGCCTTAATAGTATTGTGATTGTAATAAAAAGGAATAATTTTTCTTACGTTCTTTATATATTTCCGTAAAATGAGGATTACATGTTTTTAATATAGAAAGGTCTTTTAGTGACTTGAGGCAGCAATTTCAGCATCTATCCAACTTCTTTGTTTTTTTTTGTAAGTTACTTTTTCAGGAAAGCAAAAATTAATGCGAATGTTCGCTAAAATTTCTTTTCGTTACATTCATTTTTGTAACCTTTTCTAAAACTTTAAAGAGATTGAAATCACAGAAAAGTGAACGATGATCTGAAATTTCGTTATCAGTGACACAACACGTAACATTGTATTTATAGCTACTCACGAAAATTTGATCAATTAATGTGCAGGAATTTTCAGTGACTCTTGTAGCAATAGTGAACAAATACAATAATTATAATAAATGTTCTGCTCATAGAATTGCGCATGCAATAAAATATTCTTGGTGAATTTCTTATCGTTTCACACCCTGCTACAATACAATATCGATATTATCAACTTGGTTTGTGTCCTAAGATTTCAGATATCCTCATATGCAAAAATTCAAAGGGTTAAGGTCAGTTTACAGGTCCTCCTCTACCTATCCATTGATTGGCATACATCTCATCAAATGGACTGGTGCACCGTCGTGCATAAACCATAAATGTTGCCTAATTTGAATGGGAACCTCTTCAAGAAGAACAGATAATTCTTCAAGGAGATGGCATTCACCAATTAATTGTAGCGGAAGAAAATGGGGACCAATTAAATTTGTAAAGATAAAAAAGTTTTCAGCCATATTTTTTAAAAGAAATTTTTTTATCTATTTCAATCCCTTCTAAGCTTACTTCAGGACTGAAAAAAAAAATAACAAATGTAGTATTATTGACAAATAATATTTACCAAGTTTTGTATCTTTAGCTTAATATATAGGAAAAATAAAAAAGAAAAACATTTTCTTTTTATAAATTTTCGGATGTGTGTAACTTTTCATGGGATGGTTTTTCAAAAAATGTTATACCAATTTTCATCACATAACCATCTCTTAATTTTTTTGGTGTTATTTAAATACGCTCTACCCTGTATAGTCTAAATTGTATTACTTAATGCAATAAAATTTGCTTCTAACCATTTTTTTGTTTCAGGTATCACTCCCCAACCACCTAATAAACGGTCATCGTCCTCCAGTGTCGTCATCCAACGGGGATTTAAATAATAATTCCAATCAAGGACCACCTAGTTCGATAAATAGTCAAAATTTTCAAAATCCCGGTCATATGAAAAACGGCCCTCTATCAATGGGAGCGGCTAGCTGAAAGTTCTAGACATTATGATTTCAGAATTTTTTTATTCCTTGAAAATCCAGACAAAATTTGGTGTCAGCATTTTTTTTTAAGAGGGTGAGTCTATGTACTTGTTTTCTGATATGGCTTGTTTATAAAATATACTTTCGAATCACTTTAACAAAAAAAATGTTGAACAGTGAAATAAAATTGTTATTACTGCCTATTTTTATTTAAATATATGACTTATTGAATGGGCAACTAACATTATATCCATTTTTGTCGAGTACTTTGCTCATATTAAGTTAGAAAATACTAATTTTGAAGTAGAGCAATCTTTTTTAATTTTTTCTAAAACTCGTATGAAACTTTTAGTAAAAAAATTTGTTTAAGATGTAATATTTCGGTAAATAAAGTGTGAATTCGACAAACGAACATAACGTACTCATACTTCAAAAGTGATATAACTCAAAAATCACATCTGTTGAGTTAAGAATTTTCAGAAGGTAAAAAAGAACGTTTTGAACTAGGACCAACATTAAGATTGTTTCAGAAAAAAACAAAAATTTTAAATTGTCACATAACTAAGGATGTTTTTTCTGCATTAAACGTGTGATATTTTGAAATTACAATGTTAATGTGATAAACCCAATATGGAAAAGTAACTTAGATTAATTCTGAAATAAACGATTCAAATGAAATCAAATTTATTTGTTTAAATAATAAAATACATTACTTAACAGTAAAAAAAATAGTTATATAAAGAAAAGTTCTTTAAAGACATCTGATTGAGCATCGAATCTAGACATTTCTGCCTGCTTTGCTTCTGATCAATCAGATGACTCTTATTTATGTACATATTTTTTTAGAGACAGGAATTAAATTTTACATATAATTATTTATCACTTAACAAAAGATACAATAATTAAAAATAAAAAGAAAGGACGAAGAAATTCGACAGAATAAACCGATAAATAAAAAGATATATAAAAAATAGCCAGTACCTTAGGAATTCAATTGGTAAATAACCCTACAATCAACAAAACTGTTTTAACTTACATAGAAACGACTCGTCAATTTTGAGATTTTGATATGGGATCCTTTTTAATAAACAAATTAATAGTATTACCTCAAAAAAAAAATGTGAATTTTGAGTTGTGTCACTTTTGAAGGAAGGGTGCGAAAGTTCTGCATTCAATATTCTATATTTATTTTAAGTACTTTTTACTTTATTTTTAACTAGTAATATTTGTTGTAATTATTATTTGTTATAACTATTATTTATTCTAATAATTATTGTTTGTTATAATTATAATTTGTTGTAAAGTTGTTTAATGTTATTATATAGAGAAAGAAAGTGTATTTTATAAGTCATAAAAAGATAAAACATACACCAACACAAAGAAAATAATTTGGTTTGGATATATATTAAATTTATCAGAATCAATAAGTATCCTAATTATTTTTAAAATTTTATCTCAGTTTTAATGAAGTATTCCGTTAAAATTTGTATACAGGGTAGAGATCTTAACTAGAATAAATTCGCTAGGCGAATAATTTTTCTAAAATTTTCCGAGACACGTCAACGTTTTAATAGTTTTAATAGTTGAAAAATATAGCCCTTCGGGGGTAGCTGAATTCACCCTCAACATGTTTTCATCAAATAAAACCCTGTGGCTTGTGACCCTTCATTGCAAAGCTGATGGAACGAGGAATCGAGCGTACTTATCAAATTTTAATTTCTAGTTCGTTTTGGGGTTGCATAAAATCAAAATGTAATTTATTTTCAAAGTAACAATTGCTGAAAATGTTTGTTGTTTAGTTTTGTAATGTAAACCTTACTTTTTAGATGTCCTCACAAATAATTCCAAACCATTTTTTGCCACAACTGGTATTTGCTATTTTTTGCTAATGTTTATATATACATCCGCAAAGAGAAATTTAGTTTGTAGTTGCAGTATTCAGCGTTCGATACGAAGTGTTGTTCCAAACTGGTGAAAATGCCTAATTATTTAACTGAAACGGTAAAAATCGAAATTTTGATGATGATTTGATGTGGTGATAGGATGCGAACTCAAAGCGAAACTGTTCGCCTATTTCGAGAGTCGCATCTTGACTTGCCACCAATAAATCAAGGTACTATTAATAAAATAGAGGCACAATATCGAGGAATGGGTCATGTCAGAAAAGTACCGAGAAAGAGACAAGCTGTTATCGATGACTATAGTCTATTTTTATGTATGAGAGAGTAATAAAACAGCATTTCAAATGCAAAACTTAGTACGGTCCTTTTAAAAAATTTTACAGATTAATCTAAATATTTCCTAAAATTGTAATAAATGTACCTGACCTATTACAAGTTTTGGGTGTTTTATTGGTCCTTTATAAACATAAGCTGTACAGAACAATAGAAAAAGGTTTGTACAGGCCAAAAGCCCTGTGTATTAAAGATTAAATAGCCGTATCTTAAGATTATTTTCAATAAGTACCTATTTGCCAATTTTGTTTTATTTTAATTCCAAGAATTTCTTACAGTAATCGAATTATAAGTAGATAAATACCTTCCCAACAAATTTCACCGAAAATGCGATTATAGGTTTTCCATTTAGTAAGGAGGTCCAAGTTGTGTATTCTTGACAGTTTACTAAATGTCGTTTAGTTGCAACTTGCAAGATGCAGTGTGAATTCTAGTGTGATCATGGAAAATTTGGAAGGGCCTCGTAAACGACAAAAAATCGGTCCTTTAACAGTTAATGAAAAAACATTAATATTTAATTGTTTTAAGTCATTTATAGACAAACATTTATGTAAAAGTGTTGATGACACAGTGGAATTAGTTAGTAGTACGCTTGGTGTTGGGAAATCTACGATTTACAGAGTTGTTAAAGAAGAGAAATGTGGCGAGTTTCAAACAGCACGTAAAGCTCCAGGAAAACCAAAATTTCAATTAGAAAATCTTTTGAAAGAAAGACTTCGAAGAAAAGTGCATGCGTTCTTCTTTAGAAAAGAATTTCCGACAGTAGACAAAGTTCTTGCCACGGTTCGAGATGATAAGGATTACCCTGAAATGAGTCGAAGCACACTATGGAAACTTTTAAAAGAAATAGGTTTTCTATGGAAAAATCATTCCAGAAAGTCTATTTTAATAGAAAGAAGCGATATGGTAGTATCGAGAAGAAATTACCTAAGGACTATAAAAGAAATGAGAAACCAAAGAAGAAATATATTTTATTTAGATGAAACATGGATCAACGAGGAAAAACCAAATAAATTTTGGCAAGATGAAACTGTTACAAGTCGAAGACAGGCTTTTTTAAATAATTTATCTACTGGTTTAAATCCACCATCAGGAAAGGGGAACAGACTAATAATAGTACACATCGGTAGTTCAAACGGTTTTGTTAAAGGTGGTTTATTGACATTTCAATCTACTCGTACCGGTGACTACCATGAGGACATGAATGCTAATGTCTTTAAAGAGTGGTTCGAACAAATTATAGATCTTCTTCCTCAGAACTGTATAATAGTAATGGATAATGCAAGTTATCACTCGAGACTTATAGAAAAAATGCCCACAACCAAGTGGTTAAAAAAAGATTTACAGAATTGGCTAAATTCAAAGAATATTAAGTTCCATCCCGGTTCTGTGAGAAAAGAACTGTATCATTTGTGTTCCCTTCATAAAGAGAAATTCAAAAAATATGAAATTGCAAAAAATCGTGGGATAACGGTGGTTAGATCACCACCATATCTTTGCGAAGTAAACCCGATTGAACTGATATGGGCACAGATAAAGGGAGAAGTTTCAAGAAAAAATAATTCTTTTAAAATGAGTGATGTTAAACAGTTGTTTTTGGAGGCTGTAAATAATGTGAAGCCTGAAAACTGGGAAAAGGCAGTAAATCATACGATTAAAAAAGAAGAGAAAATGTGGAAGTTGGACAATATTACTGATGAAATGATCGAGCCACTCATTGTAAATATTGGTTGCGACAGTTCATCTTCTGATTTCGATTCTGATTTGGATTTGTAGGTAAGAAGTAGTTTTTATATTAAAATTATTATTTATGAACGTAACGTTGTTTGAAAGTCAAAGTTTAAACCCTTATACCTACATAACCCGTTTGACACAATGTTCTTAACATACCTTGTGGAAAAATAAAACATTTTAGAAAAAATTGCACTTTTTTACCTTCAGCTATTTAGAAGTTATAAGTAGGTTAATTAGGTGAAAATATAAGTGTATACTCGAGGAATAACTTCAAAAAATATTTTAACTGTCTACTAAAAGAAGTGGTACGCATACATAAAAATAGACTGACCATACACGAAGTTGAATTTGTTGCTTGCTTTAGGAGAAAATTCAGTCACTCCAGCCCGTCAACTGGCCCGTGATAGTAATCTTAATCGCAAAATGGTTATGAAAATACTTATAAAAACACCTATATAAAATGCAGGCTGTCCAAGAGCTACTAGAAGAAGATCTACGACTGGAATTTTGCGATTTGTTGATGAATCGTATTAATGAAAGCCATTTATCATTAGACTGAATATTTTTCTCTGACGAGGCTACTTTTACATTAAATGGGCACGTAAATTGCCAAAACTGTCGTTATTGGGCTGCAGAGAACCCCCATTGGATGAGGGAACTTCATACTCAGCGCCCACAGAAAACTAATGTGTGAGCCGGAATAATACGCGATAGAATTGTAGGACCATTTTTCTTTGATGACACTATTAATGGAGTAAGATACTTGCATTTTCGTATGAATTAATGCCAGTTATATGTCATTTATTTCCAAATCCCTTGAACCCCAACTTGACCGACGAGAGGCTATGGTTTTAGACCGGTCAGATAGTGACCGATTTAGGTGCCCTATTTTCGCATTGAAAAGTACATCGATGTTAAGTAGAATAAAAGAAAATTTACGAGTGGCTCTTGAGGATAACACATGGAAAATTCGATTTTCCTTATCAGAAAAATTTTCCGACCGCAAAATGCACTTATACATTAGGGTCATTCAAGAAAATATATTTTTCGGACTAGTGACGACGTACGTTTTCATACATTCAATGGTTTTGTGTGGAAATATCGGGCAAAATCTCGATTTTTCTTCAGAAGATTACGCCCTTATTTCAACCCTTTAGCCACTTGCAACATTAAAGCCTTTGGTTCTCCGAAGCCTAGTTCTATTAATTAATCATATAATGAAAATGGCTTGCTTGGAAAAATGGGCAACAAATAACCTTTCGTTTTTGTTAGGGAAATTCGAATTGTCCATGTGTTATCCCCAGCAGCCACTCGTAAATTTCCTTTCATTCTACTTAAAATCGATGTACTTTTCAATCCTCTTTGAGGCTTGTATGCGAAAATGGAACATCTAAACCTGTCATTATCTGACGGACTTCTGCACTACGCAGCTATTGTTCGTCAATATCTGGACAGATTTTTTTCCGGTAGGTGGATTGGAAGACGAGGTACTATTGAGTGGCCAACAAGGTCTCTAGACCTTACACTGCTGGATTTCTTTTTATGGGGAAATCTCAAAAGTAAAGTCTACATTGAAAAACCCAACAACATAGCAGACGTACAGCAAGGATAAGACGTACAGGAAACGTAAGAGATGAAACATACCACCGACTGGGATGCTGCCAACAAGTCAATAGTGCACATTTTGAGCACTTGTTGAATTGAAAATAAAATAAACTTTTAAATTTAAACTAAAATTTGATTAGTACGCTGGATTCCTCGTTCTATCAGCTTTGAAATGAAAGTCACAAGCCACCGGGTTTTGTTTAAAAAAAAACATGTTGAGGGTTGTTTCAGCTACCTCCGAAGGGCTATATTTTTTAAATTGCTTGCTAAATGTAGGTAAA